ACCAACGTGACTGAAAAATCGACCAATCGGGTAAATGAGTTGCATTATGGGTTACTACAAAAAATACTACGTGTACGTTTCAAAAAGGCCAGTTTTCCAAATCGCTCTCGGAAAGACATGATGCATTTATCCAAGCATTTTACACACTTAATACAATATGTACATCATTATCTACGAATTCCATGCTCACATTTACATACAAATGTTTTACAACGGTAAAATCTGGGTTTTCTACACTCCGTTGTAGACAATTGCCTGACAGTTTCCCCGTGCTGTATGTACTATCAGTGAATATATATGAATTTCACGTGACTATTTCCTGGTCTAAAACAATTTTTTGATATTCATGAAAGAAATATTGAAAATGATGTACATTTCTATGCTCATAATTTACAAAATTTGCTTTGTGAAGCCTTATATCAACTTGAAATACATCGGAGTAAACCATTGTTCAAAGAGACGTAGACTATTGTGTATATATACAGATAAAGCATTGAGTGTGTTTTTTCACGTGATATATATGAACTGCAACATAGTTTTAGACAGCAGTATAAACTGATAAAGTGCGCAATTATTATTTTACTACTCAATATCATCAAAATATTTTTATGTACACGCAAACGTCAAAGCGTTTGTACGGTATTTGAGGCAACTATTAATCATCGAAAACAACTCAAATATCAAATGTGAGCATGGAACAGTGTCTTTGGAATATAATCTTTCAATTTCAGCCTTATAAAGTAAAAAAGAAGCAGTACGGTTTTTCCAGTGACCAAGTAAATATGATGCTGTAAACCGACGAAAACCACATGTCGCTATTGAATCGTAAACACGTAGTAGACCGTCATGCTTTGCGACTCATTCAATTGATTGGAGAATGGGTTTGACGAAAACATCGTCACGTGTGGAAAAGTGCCTTCCATAAACTGATAAAAGGCAGTGTACCCGACCTATTAAACATTGCTTGGAATGTAGCGCTACCGTGAACGGCAAGATTGCATTGAAGTCAATGGAAAGAAGTAAAATTTTTGAAAATAAAAAAATAAATACTAAGAATATCAATGATGAAGTGGAAAGATGTATTTGATCATTAGGAATAGAAAAACAATTGAAAACTATATTTTCACCAGATAGATTTTTTAGAATTGATTTTTATTGAGTAAAATTAAAGGGGATACATGTATCTCTTCAAGGACAAGGTCAAAAATTAGGACACGTTTCTTTCTTGAATACTGATACTAAGACATGAAAATTATCAATCTCCTATGCAGAGTTGTCGTTCGTTCCTCTCTCAGACGTGAATGTACATGTATGAGCCGATGGTAGAGCGTGGAAAATTATGTCTAAATATACTGAGTATTCAGCCCATACACATTTCTGTTATGCATTCAATTCCATTGAATCTGAGGCTTATATGGGTCGGATACTTTAACCGTCTGCAAAGATGGACAAAAAGATACATGTACCACATTAAACCATTTTTGAACGATAAACTTGGGGGAGGGGGGGGGGGATTGAGAATTATCAATTTAGCTCTCAGTACTAGTATTAAGTGAAATACCAGGGGCGAAGTAGACAAAGTGTCTGGCTGTCAACCGCTCTAAGCACTGGGCTGGTCCTGATCTTTGACTGTCAGCTCTGTATTCCCCAACGAGTTCCTGGCACACTCGAGTCGACTCATTTTCCTCTGCAAACCTCGATGTTGATGGTATATGATGTAGCTATTCACTGCATAAGTTTTGATGAAAGTGTTGAAAATTGTCGTTACGTATTTACAAATATGCTCTAAATTAAAAAGAAAAAACCCTCTTAAATGCATTAATATGTATACATTTAAATTTTTCATTAGAATAGTTGATGTGACGCGGTTGTAGAAAGAACTGGCCATTACAACTCTTGCATGCACGGATTTAGAGGGGGGTCGGACCCCCTTTCCCGAGTTTCAAGAATCCGCGGGTATGTTAAGGAAGCATACAAATCATTTCTCGGGAAATTTAGATTTTTTAAAGAAAATTAAGATTGATAATTTGTCAAAGTCGCCGATAAAACGTAAACTATTACTAACTATTATATAAAGACACGGAGTGTCTGAGGCCAATTAGTGCATCACCTCGACGTCATCACGTGACTGCTATTAATAGCAAAATATTCCTTAATAAAAAAGTTCACAGAACAACAATACCCCGGGGTTTAATAATTTCTTTGAGTAAATAATATAGTTGAAAAACATCTCTTATGCCTAAAAAGTGCTGCTAGAATCCCACTGTCCGGTCGGGAAAATAATTATTCCACATATTTGCTCGAAACCTTACCCGATGTTTTGCATTATATACATATAATCCGAGATATGTCTTCAAACCATGTTTACCTCACGATTCTAGCAGCACTTTCCAAGTATTTTAGAACACAAACTTCCGATATGTACAAACCTTATGTTTTTAAATATCCAGCTTAGTGTTGTTCTTTTGCATTATTGTTGTCAAGAATGACAGAGGAAAGGCCAGCCGGGATACGGAAATAGCTGACTTTCTTCAATAGAAGATATAATCGATGTAAATAAATCAACATACCTGTTTAACAAACTTTAACTTCACATGAATAACACAAAATATTCACGGTATTTGCTTCTAAACCCCCTTTTACGTATCTTTTTACATGCCGTCTTACCCAAATTCTCGATACACAACATGATCGATTCTCAAGTTACTTGTTGAACAGTTATGACGTCATCGGTCGGAGATTTTAATTTGAGTGACAGATACAGCATAATAAAATAAACACATTTGATTTTTGTTAATATTTGCACCTTTCTTTTCATTTTCAGGAGATAAATTATGTCTCTAAATAACAATATTAAGAAAACTTGTGTTCTAAACTTGACGTCATCTCGCCTACTATGACGTCATATTGTATCACTGATTCAGTCAAGTCAGATTATCTTAGTGCTTCCTTAACACCCCTGCGTCATTAGATTTAAATGAAATATATGGAGATAACGTACAGTATTCAAGCTCAAAAGTCCATTATACAATACAAAATAGGAGCAGAGCAAACACGGACCTCCAAACATCAGAGGTGGGATCAGGTGCCATAGAGGAGTAAGCATCCCCTGCCGACCGGTCACACCCGCCGTGTGCTCCTTGTCATGATCGGGAAATAACGGAAAAATCCGTCGACAATTCAGTGTGTAAATAATGGCCTAACAATTAGTATGAAAAACGTCAGTCAGCATTTGACTCAATGAAAAATTGTATTTGCTGACAAGGTCATTGTATCGACCATAGAACTTACGAAATGATGACTTTAAATGAGACAGCTGATATTCTTGTTTCATCAACTTATTTGTCAATAATTTACCTCGTTTTAGAAATTGTACATACGTAGAGCATGCTCTTGCGTATTGAATCAACTGAGAGATATATACTCCGTATGCAGGTGATGAAGGTATATTGCTGCATAAGTAAGGGAAGTTGACGATTGAAAAGTTAAAGTCATCACGTTTATCATAAAGCTTGGTTGTTAGATTACCATTAACGTCTTTTTCAAGTAATATATCCAAATATGAAACAGATGTTTCAGACTCTGTGGTATCTTTTATCTCAAGTTCACCAGGATATATCGTATCGACATAAGAATGAAAATAGCCATTGTTAATTGACAATACGTCGTCGATATATCTAAATGTCGAGTTGAACGCCACAGCAAGTGTTTTCTTCTTTTCACGTACAAGATTTTGGACAAATTCTGCTTCATATGAATACAAAAAAAGGTCTGCTAATAACGGGGCGCAATTGGTACCCATAGAAATTCCAATAGATTGTTGGAAGGCCTGGTCTCCAAATGTAGAGTAATTAAAAAATAGCCTTGGACCCCTCCACCTTTTGCAGGAAACACAAACCCCGCGTAAAATAGTATGGAGAGTCATGTTTAAGAAGAAAACTGACTTAGGAAAATGATTTGTTTTGCTCTTACCCCCACATCATGAAATAAGTTTTCGAGGTTTGAGCAAGATCTTTTGTGAGGGGCGGGGGCTTGTCAAACATTTTTCTGAAAATGCATGCAAATTTAGTGATTAATTAACTGTTTGAAATGCTTAAATTGATTACAAATTGAGTAATACTTTACATGATTTGTATCTTAATTTAGATGTAATCGTAAATATCCTTATAACTGAATAAAAGTAATAATTATACCAAAAAAATGGAACTCTTCAGTATGCAGTGTTTAGAAGGTCATTAATTATAAGTAAAAGAGATAGCTAAATTTTAAAGAAGGCTGGATTTCTTTTACAAATAAAATACTTTACTAATAATCATTAACAATATTTATTCGTTACTTCTACCTAGAAATATGGTAACCCTGGAAGTTCCAGAAGGGGGAGGGGAGGGGGGGGGGTTGGAGTCGGTGCTCACACTATAATTAATCTAGGCCCGAAGGAGCCAAGAACCATAGGGCTGTTCTCTCCCATAATTTTGCCACATTAAAAAATATATATATTATAATTTAAACAGGCTAATTTCAGTTGTGCTCTCTCAATGATCTTGTCAGTGCATGTTATATACGTTAAAAACCAAAGCAAATATATGGCTGTACCCCCTAGCCTCAAGAAAAAAAGTTAATGCGTTGTCTAGAATTTCTGCAAAGCTTTTCCAACCCCATCCCCTGCTTTATATACTTGCTTCCTTTGGGCCTAAATCTTATAGAATAAATTGCAGTTTCTGTACCGACCCTAAAATTATTAAGATGAAAATGTATTCGACATCATTTTAGAAATTACCTCTCATGCAGATATTATCTTTTAATTCCAATTAAAAGACAGAAAATCATATTTCTTTACTTTTTTTAGCTTCGGTAATTTTCGTAAATTTTCGACTTCCGAGTCTACCGGTAACTGTTCATGTTTTTCACGCACGAGCGCCTTTGCAAGCAGACCTGTAAAAATAGCTTCAACTCTACAGGGAATGTTCGATTCTAAACGCTTGAGATTAAGTGTTAGGGTTTTTTTTTTCATGTCCACGAAAGTTGTAAGTTTTAATTCAAATGGAGATGCTCATTGACTGGTCAACATAAAATCAGCTATAAAGGTGAGTATTTTACAATGTAGATTCAGTTTATTAAACTTTGTAATTCAATGAAAACATTATATCAGGTGTGTGCATGCTTTTCTTGTCTTGACTTGGCGTTACCATTATGAATGCAATAACATATTATATCTGTATACGTACTTATTTATGTTACATTGTTTATATATACGTATCGATATATATACGCAGCTAGGTTAAGGACTCCCATATATACGTCAGCCTATGTAGAGGTTCGGTAAAGCTATTATGACGTCACGTTAAACAATACAAATGAATCTCGATGAACAAATACTATATGTTCTTTTTAAAACACATTAAATACTTTCGTTTATCATAAATATTATAAACATAAATGGATGTGCAACTTATCTTGCCATAATAGCACTTAGCGTATGTAGAATGAAAGCCAGCTTGATCTCGCTGTACTTACTGAGATGACGTCATTTCTTAGTTTGACACGCAGTTTCTCTGTACTTGAGGCGTGGATCAAGCTTTTATCGTAGCTTGTAAAAATAAAAATAAATACGAAACACGCGTAGTCGGACCAAAAGAGAGAAATATTCTGAAATATATTAATCCACATTTTATTGTCAAACTAAATTGATAATGTGTAGACTTTATATTAGGCCGTAGGGAGCACATTTGTACAGTAACATGCTAGAATGACAGGTCCAGCCCCTCGAAAATATCAAAAGTTCAACGATATCCGCTTCACTATAAATTCTGAATTTTTAAACACGTGTAGCTATTATCCCTACTATTCTGAAAAGTGCTGAGAGCTGGCTGTGCATTGTTGATTTATTCCGTAATGTAACATTATTCCAATGCGAATTACATTTTTGACTGGAGTTTTTAGAAAGACGGCTAAATTTTAAAGAATTCCCGAGCATGAGGAAGTTGCTCCCAGCACTTTTCGTGTTAAGGAATTTGTCTCAAGGAAAACAGAATAAATTTTATAGCGGAAAAATGCCCGTATATCGTTGAACTTTTACGATCTTTGTAGTAGTACATATATGTTCTAATTTTAAAACTGTCACGTGACAAACAGCTGATGTAAGCTATGTCGTTTTGTCCGAACTCAGCAGAGACCCGATATATACAAGTGAAAACACCACATATCACATTTATCAAAACTAATGCTGTTAAAAAAAATATTAAAATTGTATTCATTTTCCCTGAATATATTAAGGCGTATATTTCATGGGCGTCCTTAACCTAGCTGCGTACTTTTTGTATCTATGGATTCAAAATTTGATTAAAAAAAAAAATACTCACGTCTTTCTACCTATGTAGCTATTAATAGCTACCTAGGTATTTAAACCTACCCAAAGTAGCTATTTTTACCTACGTTTTGCATTACTTGCATTTTGTGGCCAAACGGCCGAACGGCGCAACATGGTGAGTACAGTCACACTGATAATGAATACGACAAAATTTTGGCCAAAGAATGATTACTTTGTAAATCAACAATTTTGCATTAATTACTATGCGAAATTGTTAATTTATGAAGTAATCTTTTTTGGCCAAAATTGTGTGGTATTCATCATCAGTGTGACTGTATCAAGAAAGGTGGCACTCACCATGCTGCGCCGTTCGGCCGTTTGGCCACAAAATGCAAGTAATGCAAAAAGTAGGTAAAAATAGCTACTTTGGGTGGGTTTAAATACCTACGTAGCTATTAATAAATTGTGTGGTATTCATCATCAGTGTGACTGTATCAAGAAAGGTGGCACTCACCATGCTGCGCCGTTCGGCCGTTTGGACACAAAATGCAAGTAATGCAAAAAGTAGGTAAAAATAGCTACTTTGGGTGGGTTTAAATACCTACGTAGCTATTAATAGCTACGAAGGTAGAAATTGTCTTTGGACTGGACCTGTTACTTTTTGCCTTGCAATCATGCTTTATATGTTAACAAAGGTAAGAGGAGATAGAATTTGCTATAGATACCGAAAGGTATAGGTAAATTAAGAAAAACCCACCGCAACAGAGCACTCTTCTAGTTAAAAAAAAGAAAAAGAAAAAAGGAATATATAAGCCCCCCCCCCATTATGCTAACCCACCGACAGTTTCTGTGTCAATGAAGGAAAATTGACGATTGATTCATGTTTTTATGAACATTGATTAAGTGTACATTAATTAATACTTCTGAAGGCAAATGGTTATTGACAAAACTTGCACCCCTATTGTAAAGGTCTCTTTATTTTGAAGTCAAAAAATTGAATTACAGTGTGACTGAATCTAAGAATTATTTTTAGAGCTTTGTGTGTGTATGTGGGGGGGGGGGGGGGTTGTCCACCTGATTCCTAGGTGGAGATTGGTTGGGGGCGCATTGATGATATATAACAAAGATAGGAAATAGGGTATACTAAAATGTTTTCTGACATAGAAATAACATGATTAATTAAACAGTGATTACATTAATATTTTTTCAAAGTAACTCACTTTTAGGAATCTTTTTTTTACCTACGAAAATGCGCTCGATTGGCTTTCGTACAATACATATAACTATAACTGTATAAGTTAAATTTGCAAATTAGTCAATAATTGGAGGGGAAAAAAGTGTACACTTAGACGTCCCCACCCTTTAAACGTTTTCATTCATCAACTATAAGCAGTAAAATACAGTTTCAAATGTACATGTAGATAATCGTAGGAGATGTTGAATTAATTTGATATTGGAAAACAGTGGAGCTGCATATATATGTAAAAGTAAGGTTACCTATAGGTATATTTACACGAGAATTCGATAGAAAAACTGATATATTTCTCTTAAGTTTATAATGGTTCAGTTTTTAATTGAAAAAACTTTGTGAAGTAACGAAAAAAATTACCTTTGACCCTCTTCAGGAAAACGCATCCCCCTATTTTGTGCATGTTTGTTTTTAATTTTGTTTTATTTGCTTGTGTTTTTTTTTTCTTTGCTTGTCACATGTGTCAATAAATTCAAGAAATCCGATTCCTATTCCTTTAATTAGTGTACGTGGACCGACCCCTCTCCCCTTTGAATAATTCTTGGATCCTCTTGGATGTAGACATTCTTGTCTACTGTCTGTCTTTACATCTGATATCAAGTAATAAGAGAATATAAAAATATAAAATATAATAAATTCCTGTTTTGAAATTATGCTAACATATCAATGAAGGAAAATTTTTTGGACAAACAAAAAAAATTACATATGTGGAGAAAAAAAGAAATATGCAAAATGTATCTTGGCAAAGATAATTCGCAAGAAATACCTGGGGGATGACTTGTTTGTTTACTTTGTATCCAAATTATTGGTTGATCATGGGGCTAAAAGTAATTTGAGATGTCAAATTGCATCGGGATCGTCATACTGAAACTCCTTTTATTTGGATTTGGCTATGGCGGGAAAAGGGGATGAGCAGAAGATCACAGGATGATACATGTGTTTACAGGTGAATCTGTTTTGTACTTTAAGAAGCTCAAGCAAAATGAATTTTTAGCGTTACTACCAGAAGCGCATTTGCGATAGTAAGGTGACGTGCCCAAGGTCCATCACTGTGTGTATCATGTTTGTCTATCTGTAAACAATTTCACAAAATGCCTTTGTCTACTTATTCTTACATTATTCATATTTCATGTGTCCAAAGTCTGTTGGAATGTCTGTTCATCTGTTTGCCTGTAGACAATTTATAAAATGCTCTCTTTATTTATTCTTACATTTTCATTATTTTCATTTTTCTCATTCAAAACTAATCAAAAGTTTGAAAATACAATGTACATAAATCTTTATAGCTGTTAACCCGCCGTTTTCACTTTAACAATAAAAGGTCACAGTTCTTAAGCACTCAATTTCTATGAAATATTGCTATTGAATTTGTGTAATGTATTCGAAAATGAGAAATCCATAAAAAAAAATCTCCAGTTGCGGAGGGCCTTTGCGACTCTCTGTTAAAGATGTTTATCATTTTTAGTTCACCTGAGCTGAAAGATCAAGTGACCTTTTCTGATCACATTTTGTCTGGCATCCATCTGTCCATCTATCTGTCTGTCCGTCTGTTAACTTTTCACATTTTCGACTTCTTCTCAAGAACCACTGGGCCAGTTTTTACCAAACTTGCCACAAAGCATTCTTGGGTGAAGGAGATTCAAGTTTGTTCATATGAAGGGCCACACCCAGGGTTCAACATTAACGTTAGTCTCAGACTAATACATTTTCATTCTGACTGATAAAATCTGAGGCTAATTAGTCCGAACGGACTAATAAAATTTCTGGAAAAAAATCAATAAATTGCCAATGTTCAATTCTCGACAACTTTCACTAGAAAATGCTGCATGCATTTTTAGCTTTCTAGCTTCTTGACAGGGAGTTAGGTAATTCCAAGTCAATTAAGACTGATTGGTATGAAGTTAAACATTTTAGCGATCATGATTTATTTTTACACAAAGACATTTGGATGTAATGTATAGAGAAAAAAATGAGATCGGGAATACAGTTGTAGTTCCTGATCTCGAGAATTCAATGAATCCTGTTATGAAACTTTCACGTAATTGCTTTGTTTATTTCAAAAAAGTACATTGCAATGTTTTATTTTTAAATTAACTGTTATAAAACATTGATTTTTTTTTTTGGACGGACTCATAAAATCGCGTGCGGACTAGTAAAAGTAAAGAAGCATTAGTCCGGTCGGACTAAAGCCTAAAATTGTTAATGTTGAACCCTGCACACCCTCTTTCAAGGGGTGATAATTAAAGTTGCATAATGAGTCAAAACCATGTGTTTCTTTTAGGATTGAAACGGTTCACCTTGGTATCGATTCACCGCGGTATATTTTCTCGGTTTGATACACGGTGCAAAATCTCTAATTTTCGGTTCAGTTCATTTTTCAGTCGGGATCATTATTCAGTCGGGTTTGGCATAAGGTAAAACACATTACTCAGTACAAATAAGTATAGAAAACGTAAATTTTTGATGATTGATAGTTTGTAAAATAATTTTTGACAGTCAAATAATTCTAATCAATTTCTTCTCATCAATTTGCATATAAAAATTCGTAAATTAAGTGACTAGATTTAGTAAAAGAAAGCATAAAACAAGGGTGAATTTGTTTCCTTCTATCAAAATGTATCGTATCGAAAATAACCGTACCGAGACAAAATTATACAATATGTATCGAACCGTGAAGGAGGTGTATCGTTTCACCCCTAGTTTCTTTTAAAAAAATTGTATCACAAAACAAAAGAATTCTGTGAAATATGAATATAGCGAAGTTTTGACAACTCAACTGCACTGTAAAGCAAGAAAAAAACTGCAAAATATAAGTGCCGGAAAAACAAATGTATCTATCGCTTTGTTTTTATCGTCAATGTGAACAATGTCAAGGTCACGCGTCCTTTATTTTTAGCGTGAAACTAGTAAACAACATTGAATTGGGGCAAGCAGAAATAAGGGTTAAGTTATGATAATCTTTTTAGCTCACCTGAGCCAAAGGCTCAAGTGAGCTTTTCTGATCAAAATTTGTCCGTTGTCTGTCGTCGTCACATTTTCGTCGTCAACTTTTCACATTTTCATCTTCTTTTCAAGAACCACTGGGCCAAATTCAACCGAACTTGCCACAAAGCATTCTTGGGTAAAGGGGATTCAAGTTTGTTCAAATGAAGGGCCACACCCTCTTTCAAGGGGAGATAATTAGGAATTAGTGAAAAAATAATGGCATCATTTAAAAATCTTCTTCTCAAGAACCACTGGGCCAGGAAAGATGAAACTTATGTGGAAACATCCTCAGGTAGTGTAGATTCAATTTTGTTCAAATCATGACCCCCGGGGGTAGGGTTGGGCCACAATGGGGGATCCAAGTTTTACATAGAAATATATAGGAAAATATCTTTAAAAATCTTCTTCTAAGAACAGCAAAGCCATGATTGGTCATATTTTTATGGAAGCATCCTCAGGTAGTGTAGATTCAAGTTTGTTCAAATCATGACCCCAGGGGTAGGGTGGGGCCACAATGGGGGATCCAAGTTTTACATAGAAAGATATAGGAAAATATCTTTAAAAATCTTCTTCTTAAGAACAGCAAAGCCATGATTGGTCATATTTTTATGGAAGCATCCTCAGGTAGTGTAGATTCAAGTTTGTTCAAATCATGACCCCCGGGGGTTGGGTTGGGCCACAATGGGGGATCCAAGTTTTACATAGAAATATATAGGAAAATATCTTTAAAAATCTTCTTAAGAACAGCAAAGCCATGATTGGTCATATTTTGTATGGAAGCATCCTCAGGTAGTGTAGATTCAAGTTTGTTCAAATCATGACCCCCAGGGGTAGGGTGGGGCAACAATGGGGGATCCAAGTTTTACATAGAAAGATATAGGAAAATATCTTTAAAGAACAGCAAAGCCATGATTGGTCATATTTTGTATGGAAGCATCCTCAGGTAGTGTAGATTCAAGTTTGTTCAAATCATGACCCCTGGGGGTAGGGTGGGGCCACAATGGGGGATCCAAGTTTTACATAGAAATATATAGGAAAATATCTTTAAAAATCTTCTTAAGAACAGCAAAGCCATGATTGGTCATATTTTTATGGAAGCATCCTCAGGTAGTGTAGATTCAAGTTTGTTCAAATCATGACCCCGGGGGTAGGGTGGGGCCACAATGGGGGATCCAAGTTTTACATAGAAATATATAGGAAAATATCTTTAAAAATCTTCTTCTTAAGAACAGCAAAGCCATGATTGGTCATATTTTTATGGAAGCATCCTCAGGTAGTGTAGATTCAAGTTTGTTCAAATCATGACCCCCGGGGGTAGGGTGGGGCCACAATGGGGGATCCAAGTTTTACATATAAATATATAGGAAAATATCTTTAAAAATCTTCTTCTTAAGAACAGCAAAGCCATGATTGGTCATATTTTTATGGAAGCATCCTCAGGTAGTGCAGATTCAAGTTTGTTCAAATCATGACCCCCGGGGGTAGGGTGGGGCAACAATGGGGGATCCAAGTTTTACATAGAAATATATATATAGGAAAATATCTTTAAAAATCTTCTTCTTAAGAACAGCAAAGCCATGATTGGTCATATTTTTATGGAAGCATCCTCAGGTAGTGTAGATTCAAGTTTGTTCAAATCATGACCCCTGGGGGTAGGGTGGGGCCACAATGGGTGATCAAAGTTTACAGAGGAATATATAGGAAAAAGTCTTTTTCTCAAGAACAGAAAAGCCATGTTTAGTCAAATTGATATGGAGGCATCTTTGGGTAGTGTAGAATGAAATTTGTTCAAATGAGGGCCCCCGGGGGTAGGGTGGGGCCACAATGGGGGATCAAATTTTTACAAATGAATATATGGGGAAAAAATCTGCTGCTCAAGAACAACAAACCATTTTTTATATTGATATGAAAGCATCATCAGGTAGTTTAAAATTCAACACCCCCCTCCTTGTAAACTTTTCAATACTGTACTGATTTTTGCTTTTTTTCCTAGCCAATGTGCTCAGGTGAACGATGTGGCCCATGGGCCTCTTGTTTGAAGATTGTATCAAAGTTCTCAGTCATCCGACATTTATATCTGTGGAATTGAAACCATTGTAAATTCTTCAACTTTTCAGCGCATGCGTACAATAAAAAGGAACAAGTGAAGCAATATTTTTGTGATGGGTTATACAAAGACTTTTTTTACTTTTATTTTTCTCCATTAAATTAGATTTTTTAGGTTCAAGAAACCTGTAATTTTCTGAAACCCAATATCTTCAAGAACTGAACAAAATTTTCATGTGTCCAAAAATTCTACTGTTGTCAATTTTCTCGTTTGTCCGTCACAGTGTCACTTTAAGAAATGGTGAAAATTTGGTGTCATCTTTTGAATATCTTCTTTTCAAGAAAAATTGGGCCAGAAAAGTTGAAACTTACGTGAAACCTCCATTACATAGTGTTAATTTAAATGTTTTCAAATCATGACCCCCCAAAATTTTACATATAGGTAGATATAGGAAAATATATTTAAAAATCTTCTCAAGAACAAAGCCATAATTAGTCATAAAATGAAATGGAGGCATATCCTCAGGTAGTGTAGATTCATGTTTGTTCAAATCATGACCCCCGGAAGTGGGGTGGGGCCATAATGGGGGATCAAAGTTTTACATAGGAATATACAGGAAAATCTTTAAAAATCTTCTTCTCAAGAACAACAAAGCTACGATAAGACAAACTGATATGAAAGCATCCTAAGGAATTGTAGAATCAAAGTTGATCATATCAAGACCTAGGGGGTAGAATTGGGCACAATTGGGGGCCAATTTTTTACATAGGAATATATAGGAAAATTCCTCTCAAGAACAACAAGGCCATGATAAGTCATATTGATAAGGAAGCTTCCACAAGTATTGTTACGAGATTCAAGTTTGTTCAAATCATGACCATTGGATTGAGATCAGCATGTTTTGTATTCTCCGCTACGTTATGTTGACCCAGTCAGACAACCAAAATGTGCCTCTAATTTGAAGAGTTCCAGTAATGGAATTGAATGTATTATTTGGCTGTGTTAGTAGAATGCAGGTCACATTAGCCCGATCTGACTACATTAAAACTCGTTTATAACAAACACAGATATAGCAAATTTATGGATATTGCGAAGTTTTTTGGAATCCCTGGCAAAATTCTTAACAATTTCATGTAAATTTTTACAGATATAATGTCAGAGCGCTGATATAGCAAACTGGTTTGTATCCCCTAGAGGTTAAAGGTAACAAAATTTTTATCTCAGGGTTCGAAATTCACTATATACAACTCGCAAAATGCGAGTTAGAATTCCCCAATTGCGAGTTAAAAATAAGGTAACTCGCAAAAACTTGCGAGTTGATTTTTTTTGCATTGAAACTGTAGCAAAATTATATAATATGACAGAACACAATGCCTTTGATTTAAATAAGTAATTTAAATAAAAGTCACACTGTAGTTGTATTTTGTGTATTGTACTGTAGTTACTTTTTCCTTAAGTTACATGTATTTAATTTATATAAATTTAACTTTATATGAAAATTGCGAGTAGTCTTGGTACTCACGATTATTTGCGAGTTGTAATTTTAGGGAGTTTCTAACCCTGTATCTTTTATAGTGAATTTTCAAAGACCTCAATTTTTAAGTCACCTGAGCTGAAAGCTCAAGTGAGCTTTTCTGATCACCCGTTGTCCGTTGTCCATCCGTCCGTCTGTCTGTCTGTAAACTTTTCACATTTTCAACTTCTTCTCAAGAACCACTGGGCCAATTTTAACCAAACTTGGTACAAAGTATCCTTGGGTGAAGGGGAGTTTAAATTGTTTAAATAAAGCACCCAGGAGTAGGGCGGGGCCACAATAGGTATTACAAGGGGGAAATCTTGTAAAGAACAGCATGGCCAAAGTTATTCAGGTGAGCGATGCAGCCCGTGGGCCTCTTGTTAAAATATTGAACAGACACTACTTATGTGAGTATTTGAAATTTGAAATTCAATTCATTCAGTAATATATGAACTCCAAGGTTACTTCTGTATTAAATACTTCCCAAAATACAGTTGGTAGTCATACTTGAGGAAAAAAAATCTATATTTCGAATTCGCAATATATACTGAAGCAAATTCAATATACGAATATAATGAAATATGGATATAGGGAAGTAATTTTGCAGATCCCCAAGACTTTGCTGTAACAGAGTTTTACTGTAGTAGAATTTTCAGCTGTAATAATCCATTTCCATCTATGTATTTTAAATAATTGTCAAAAAATGTCTAAAAAGAATAATTTCCTAGATTTAAAACTTTCGGTTTTCTCAATGAATGATTTTCATATCTTTCTGTCCAAACTTAGTTTGGCTATTTATAATTTGTTGTTTCTGGTTGCCATGTGTAAACGGCTAATGGAAGAAAAAGTAAAGATGGAGATTGTCTTTGACATTAAAAAATGCTTTGAATCAAAATGCACCTGAGTTTCTAATGAATAGGGTTGTGTTAATATATAGAACTACTTTATATCAATATGTATCATTATTCAAGAATGTATCATTTTAACATGTTAGTTTTACAGTCATTAGAAGTTTGAATTTGAAGTGTATTTTGTGAAGACAGTGAGACAAGAACTTTGCATTGTGTTATAAAACAGAGAGGTAGGACGTTATACCGATACTACCATACATACCAATATTTCCTGCTAAGAAATGGTTTACAGTACACACTCTGAAATATAGGTATAAAACGATACACAAACAACTGAAAGTAAAAAATGGCGACTTGTAAACGAAGTGGAAAATGGGTAGTAAATTTTGTCATTGCTAGCCAGACAAGACAAGTGCTGAAAAATCTTTTGGGTGGACACTGTAAAGGAGTTATGGGTTTGGAAACTAGGGATGTCAGGCTTTAGTTGAATGATAGTCTAGTAATTCTTGAAATTTGATTCAATTTTTATACCCTCCGCAAACGAAGTTTAGGGGGGGTATATTGGAATCAGCATGTCCGTCTGTCTGTCCGTCTGTCTGTCCGTCTGTCCGTCTGTCTGTAGACGAGATTTTGTCCTGACCATTTCTTGGAAACTGTTGGAAGGATTTGTCTGAAAATTTGTACACTTATTATTCGTCATATGAAGGTGTGCACCTGGTATCTTCATTATGATTGGGTAATTTTTCTGCATTTTACAGGTGTTTTTTTCATTTTTATTATGTGGTTTTGTCTGGATCTGTTCCCAGAAACTATTGCATAGATTTGTATGAAAATTTGTACACTTATTATTTACCATATGAAGATGTGCACCTGGTATTTTCAACATTATTTGATAATTTTTCTGCATTTTACAGGTGTTTTTTTAAAATTTTTATTGACTTAGTCATTTCGGGTTCATGTCTAAGGTTTGAGACATAGAATCTAGAACATCTGTACAAAAATGTGAACTACAGCTTAAAACTACTCATTAGAACTAAAAAAAAACCCACAAAGTATTAAAAACAGTTTTTACATTACACAGCAGATAGTGTAAATCCATTTGTCCCTTGGGAGTAATGAGTGGACATGCATCCAGTTAAAGATTAATTAATGAGTTCAGTGTGGGAAGCTGTTAGGGCATCTCTGATCAGGCAGGTCTTATCTATATCTCCGGGGAATTGGGCAGAAAGAAATAAAGATCTCTGTTGTCTAAGTCTCTTAATTGTTATTTATGTCTGTCAAAATACATAGTTACTAAAACCAGCCTTTTATTTTTAAAATGAGTTTGATATAAAGGTATTAAAATCAATTTGATTTTGTATAATTAATTATGATATTTTTTTTTTTCAACAATCAATTTGCAGAGTGTCATGTCTCACAAAGATGACAGATAGTTGCAAACTATTTTTTCAATGTAATAAAAAACACTGTAATTATTAGTGTTGATATTTTATTAGGCTGCACCTTAGTTTCATTCATTAAAATAAAGTGCCCCACCACAGCATTATACGCCCATCAAATATTGTTAAATTATCATAATCAGTTTAGATTCAATTGGTCGAATGACATCTTAGTGAGACAAGGCAGTCTGCAATTTGTTGTAAAGATATAAAAATTCAAATAAAAAATGTACAAAAATTAATTAGTTTAAATTATATTATACAATATCATATAAGTTTTAATTATTATAAACAATATCAAATTAGTTTTAATTACATCAAATTTATCTTGAAAGTAAGACTAGCCAACAAGAACAATTCAATACAACACAAGCAATTAATTAAGAGACTGATTCCTTTTGCCCATTTCCCAAGAGATGTAGATAACACCTGCTTGATCAGAGATGCTCTACCAGTTATCACCTCACACTAAACTCATTAATTTATCTCTAATTTGACATGCAATTTTCTGCTATCAAAATTTTCCTTGACCAGTGCCTGATCATTACACCCATGGGAGAGGTGGAATTTTTCTTGTTACAGATTGCTGTAAAGAACATAATGAAAAAAATAAGACTAAATAATAAGCCGGACATGAAAAAGCTAACAGACGGACGGAGGGACATGAACGCTATAACATAATACGTCCCGTCTTAAGACGGACATATAAAAAATATAATGAGTAATTAAATTTTCACTGGAAATGTTTAAGGAAATTGTGAACACCTCTCACATCTAGAAAACATTAGTGATTTGGTACTTTCTCTGAAAAACCCAGCGGGGGGTATTTGTCCCTATTGGACAGTTCTAGTTTCATGTATTTTTCTCTCTTTGCTTGTTATAGTCTGCTTGTACATTTTATCCAGTTGCTATCACCATTATAGTCAGGGATTTTTTTAGGGTCTCCATTCCCAATGCTGAAAAGTGCAAGTTTTTCCCAAAATCATACCTAAAAATTCCCAATATGAAAATAAGTATTAAGTTGTAAATCATTAAAATAAAATAATGACAAAAAGGTGTTTATGTTCTCTATGTGCGATGTACGAGCCATCCGAGGACTTCTGAGAAGTTATTCGGAATACTATGGATGTTTGCATGCATACTTTTTAAAGCGGGATCGATGTTTAAAAATTAAAGTCGGGAATGTTACCTAAAAAATAAATGTGCATCATGTCGGTCTCTCCAGTTTGCCTAGGACGGTAATTTTCAGGCTGGGTTGAATCGCTCTTATTCTTATAAATTTGTCAAACAATACCGATTAACCACTCATCTGGAACAAACCCACTACCAAATGTTATTTTAAAAAACTTCTTACATAAAGGTAAAAAAGATGACAACGTATAAATATGTTCATTTACAATGTTATCATACCCTGCGGCTTTGCCATTTTTAAGCTTCTGAACTTCAACAGCCGCTATTATTTCATACCACTAAAGCTGGTTTAAGCCAGCTTCATACTATAAAAAATAAGAAAAATGATTAAATATTTGACTTTTGCTTGTTTTTTCCTATTTATTTGTATGAAGATATTTTTCCCAATTTCAACCAAATATCGCTATTTTTCCCAATCTTGACGGCCCCTGGAATCAAGGGGTAAAAAAATCCCTGATAGTTCTGGTGAGTGATGTGGCCAATGGGCCTCTGGTTTTAAACCAAGGTCTTTTAAGGCCTAAATTATTATTTTGGACTTATATACTAGGAATATAATAACTTAAGTGGTAATGTCCCACTGAATTGAAGGGAACTTCTTTTAAAGTTGTGCATGATGTAACTTCCTGGATGATGTGTAGTCTGTCAACACATGAAACTCGTGCAAATTTTAGGATAGGTATGTTAGGGCGTTTTTTTTAAAATCTCAAATTTTTGTCCAAGCATTACTGTAAACCAACTTTTATTTGTGTGCGAGAAATATTCGTTTCACGACCTACTTTAACTCATGAATATTAATCGCTGTGAAACATTTATTGTGTCTTGTATTATGGAGAATGTTTCCTCGGTCACGAAAATGAATCATTGCGGATTGATTTAAAAAAAAGATGACGCGAATAATTGTTGGTTTACAGTAATCTTTATTTTCTCTTTTGTTCTGAAATACTTGTTTTTTTTATTTTTTAATTTAAATTAATTAAAGCTATACATTTACATATAGTAAAACTATTTTCTTGTTTGAGACCAGCTAGTAGAAAGAGTAATGGGTAACTTTTATTTTGACAACAATTCCTCTGATTTATAGAAATAGTCTCCCCTGTTAAAGATCAACCATGGCGTATATACATTGCCGGATGTCATCTGGTCATCAACAGAGAGTTTTGATGCTATATTTCTACCAGTTACCTCTGTGACCTTTGTTATGTTTAGCAGACAGGTAAGAAAAACAAGAAATTTTTTTTTAGAATAATTACAATAAAGTAAATAGTAAAACATAGAACATATTTACATGTACAGACTCCCTCGTAAAATGTCACATTTATACGAAATGATTCTAGAACATTTACATACATCCACATTGTCACACAGTTCACGGTAGCTCAGTCGGTAGAGCGCTCGCTCCGTGATCGGAAGGTCGTGAGTTCGAATCTCAGCCGCGACTGACCTAAGTCGATAAAAAATGGGTAGCAACTGTTCCTTCGCCATGCGCTCGGCACTTTGAAGTGAAAGTTGCGGGTCCTTCGGATGAGACCTTAAAAACCGAGGCCCCGTGTAACGACAGATGTTGGCACGATAAAGATCCCTCACTGCTCAATGGCCCTGAGTGCCGAGTAAAGGTCAAAATTTGAAGCCCTTCACCGGTATATGGTGACGTCTCTATATAAGTGAAAAATTCTCGAATGGGACGTAAAACAACATACAATCAATCAATCAATCCACATTGTCACAGTTGAATAGAATCAGAGCATAATAAAACAATTATTACATGATACACATATCACAGAATGAATTTCTTCTTAATTTTGGATCAGCTAGTGATTCACTGTGTCACTAGATTTTTTAGCTCACCTCGACAAAGTCGAGATGAGCTTATGCTATACCCCCGGCGTTGGTGTCGTCGTCGGCATTAGCGTCGGCGTCCTGGTTAAAGTTTTCGGAGCAGGTCCATTCTGAAGTAACTATAAGCCCTACCTGGACCAAACTTGCATGGATGATGCATCTACGGATGGACACTACCACACTTGCTTGGGATGCTGAATCTGACCTAGATTTTCCAGATGAGTGACCAGGTTAAAGTTTTTGGAGCAGGTCCATTCCCAAGTAGCTATAAGCCCTATCTGGACCAAACTTGCATGGATGATGCATCTTGGAATGGACATTACCACACTTGATTCAGATGCTGGATCTGATTTAGATTTTCCAAATATGAGACCAGATTTAGATTTTGGAGCAGTCTCATTCCCAAGTGACTATAAGCCCTACCTGGACCAAACTTTCATGGATGATGCATCTAGGGATGTACACTAACAAACCTGCTTCGGATGCTGGATCAGACCTAGATTTTCCACATGAGTGAATTTTAGCAATATTTTAACTAAATTAGCATGGATGATGTATCTAGGGATGAACACTTCCAGACTTTCTTTGGATTCTGAATCTGACTTACATTTTCTAGATGAGTGACCAGGGTAATTTATTTTTGGATTAGCTATATGAAATTATGGCCTGTTATGATTAAACTTGCATAGATGGTGCATTTAAGGATGAAACTTCCAGACTTGCTTTGGATGTTGGAACTGACCAAAATTTTCTTGATTAGTAAACAGGTTAAAGTTTTTTGAGCAGGTCTTTTTCCAAATAACTATAAGTCCTACTTAAACCAAACTTGCATGGATATTGATCTTGGGATGTACCCTAACTAGAAAAAAAATATGATGTGAAATTTGCCTTACTTATAGATAACATTCATTGAGGTGAGCTTCGTAATCTTTGATAACCTATGTTTATTGTAGAGCGGATATCTTTTAAAGGTAAATGAAACAATGTCCTGAGCATTTTGAGTTGTATACGGAAATGAGTACATATGAGCTACTTTAATAAGCCTGAAATTATATTTTGAAATTTTTTATGCAAGATAGCGACTGCAGAGTCTATTAAAATTACTTGATCACTAAAATTAACTTCCAATAAAACGGCTTATCTCCCATTGATTATGATGTCGGTAAGACCCAGTCGCTGTTCAAAGCTGTGCAGTGTACTTACATATATACAAAAGATCATGTCAAGTTGCAGCGTAATTTAAGAAATAATCATGACTAGAACCTCGTATAATTATACTATGTTCAATCAAGCTTGTATTTGTTTTTTAAAATCCCATTGCATATATAAAAGATTTTAGAATGTTTTATTAGTGTAATGTTTGTCTCTTCTTCGACAGTCTTCAATCAAGAGAGAGAGAGCAAATGAGAGAAAGAAAAAGAGAACAAAAAGCGAGGGGGGGGGGAGGCGAGCAAGAAAGTGATAGAACCAATTTAATTTAATAAACAGCTGTTGTTAATAATGAAATCATTTATTTACATTACTATACATAGTTTCACTTTCACATACCACGGTTAGTCAAATTTACTTTATACTCATGCGCCACGTGCTATAGTACAATGATAGCATCATGTCTTAATTAAAAATTTAATCAGAAAACTAATCAACAATATTCTTGTCTTAGAATTTTCAATTGTTAATTATTTGACAGCATCAATATTCATGAATCTTGTGATAGCAAAATTAGGATGATGTCGTTATAAACTCTGGTATTCTATTTCTATATCATTTTTACATCAATCCTTGTGATTCATATTGCAGAAAACGTGCATTCGGAGACACCAACATTTTTTCATTAATTCACGTTGTGTACTCTAATACACCCTGTTGATTTTAAAAAGGGAGGGGGAGGGGGGGTCGTGAGCTGGGAAGAATATGTCACAGCTCTATTTTAGAGAATTTTATAGAAGTTTCAGGCCAATATTCATAAATTACGCTTTTCTTTGTGGTTTGGTTTGGTTTTGTATGTTGTTTAATGTCCCTCTCGAGAATTTTTCACTCATATGGAGACGCCTTCTTTGTGGTAAATTATACAATTTAACTTGGAATGAAAAACCATGTTTTCGTTATACACATTAATAACATCATGTATCTATAAGCTCAGTATTCCAGCTGCAACTTATCTCTTAAACTTATTTGTGTATCCTAATGGCACAGACAATTGTATTCATACCCGAGTAACAAAGCACTTCCCGGGTATGGATGTACTTTGGGTTCTACAAAATGAATGTAGGACCAGCTGTTTTTTGCCTTAGTTAAATCTAACAATTTTGCAGAATTTGTTTTCTCAAGAAGTAAATTCATGATTAAGAAAATGACTTGATGTAATTGATACTTTTTAAAGGACTGACATTCAGTGAAATTGTGTTATGTGTATTTTTAGATTATGTAAATTTCTTTACTCTTCAAACTTAGTTTTATAACTCTACAGTGTATGAGGAAAAATTAAAGGAAAAGATACACACTCAGTAAAACAGATGATATCCATTTATTTGTTTTCAGCAAAATAAACACCCAGAAAATAGTCATTTACCCATTCTTACCATTTAATTAACTACATTGATAGACTTTGTTATTGTCCGATTATAATCGTTGATTAGTTAGTTACAGTAACCTGATCATCCATTATGAAATTCTTACCAATTCCCATCACTAGCTCTTATGTATGTTATCAATAAGAAATTATTCCATCAAAGAAATGAAAAACTAGAAATATGTCCATAGGACATGAATGCCCCGCCGAGGGTATATTAGAAATGCAATATTTTAACACAAATTGAGAAAAGTGAGGTCAAGGTCAAAGGAAAGGTCAAGGTGAAAAAATATTGATGCAGTTGAATAGCTTACATCAGTATGTATCAGCATATGAAGTTTGACACTAATTTAAGAAAAGTGAGGTCAAGGTCAAAGGAAAGGTCAAGGTCAAAAATTGTTGATGCAGTTGAAAAGGTTACATCAGTATGTATCAGCATATGAAGTTTGATAAAAATATTATGAATGGTTTCTTTAAAACTGAGCTAAACACTGATTTGAAAAAAGTGAGGTCAAGGTCAAAGGAAAGGTCAAGGTGAAAAAATATTGATGCATTTGAATAGCTCTCATCAGTATGTATCAGCATATGAAGTTTGAGGTCAAAGGAAAGGTCAAGGTCAAAACATGTTGATGCAGTTGAATAGTTCTCATCAGTATGTATCAGCATTTGATGTTTGATAACACTATCTTGAATGGTATCTTTAAAACTGAGCTAAACACTAATTTAAGAAAAGTGAGGTCAAGGTCAAAAAATGTTGATGCAGTTGTATAGCTTATATCAGTATGTATCAACATATGGAGTTTGATTACACTATCTTGAATGGTATCTTTAAAACTGAGCTAAACACTAATTTAAGAAAAGTGAGGTCAAGGTCAAAGGAAAGGTCAAGGTCAAAACATGTTGATGCAGTTGAATAGTTCTCATCAGTATGTATCAGCATTTGAAGTTTGATAACACTACCTTGAATGGTATCTTAAAAACTGAGCTAAACACTAATTTAAGAAAAGTGAGGTCAAGGTCAAAGGAAAGGTCAAGGTCGACCCTAATTTGGGCTAAGATGAAATAAAAATAAAAGTCTCTAATTCAAGTTTTATTTTTATTTCTCCCGCCGATAGTTTATTTATAGTCACTGAAAAAATAAAAGAAATATAAATAAACTTTTCACAAGCCTTTCAAAATGCTATTTGTCATTGGCAGAGGTAAATATATTTATCCAATCACAGTATTCGAAGTGTCACTGCACAGCATAGCGCCAAAATGTCAGAATCGGAGGGTTTCATATATTTTTAAAGTCATTTAAAAAAGTGACATGTCAATGTCATATATTAGAAAAAGTATAATTTTCAGATTAACTTTTAATGAAAGATTGAATGAAATAGACGAAACAGTAATCTTGATCAAATGTCATGCAGAGGGCCATGTGGAAATTAAGGTTCTGTCATGTCAACCGCTTGTTTTGAAAGGTTTTGAGTACGTATTATCTTTGACAGTTGCTTCAATACATTGAAATACGTCTTGAAGATTTTTTTAAACTTAATTTTAAGACAATAGTGTTTTCTCTTACAATTAAGGACAGAACAGAACACTGTAGAACTGATAGAAAGTGGCGTGACTGAGGAAATTCGAGTCACAACTTTCACCCGTTTTAATGACAAATATTGGAATTCAAAATTACTTACGAAAATATATGTTTGATTGATACAAGACATTATTTCCTTTTTTATCATTTTATGGAATTTTGCATGCTATATAACAAATTAATGCACATCAGCTATTAATAACAGCTGATATAGTGTATAATTATG